TGTTGACTGATTGATTAACTTGTGGTTATTGCAGCTGGTGAAAGGCAATTTTCATGATCGTTATACTTGATATAATGACAGGATTCAAATAGCAGTTAGGATGAGAATGTGAACCACAGTATTATTCTTCTGGCAATCATCGGTATAAATGTACCATTGCTGACTACAAGCCGTCGGTATATAACTGTAACATTGCTGAATATAGATCGCCGTCATATAACTGTACCATTGCTGACTACAAGCCGTCGGTATATAACTGTAACATTGCTGAATATAGATCGCCGTCATATAACTGTACCATTGCTGACTACAAGCCGTCGGTATATAACTGTAACATTGTTGAGTATAGGCCGTCGTCATATAACTGAAACATTGTTGACTACAGGCCGCCGGTATATAACTGTAACATTGTTGAGTATAGGCCGTCGTCATATAACTGAAACATTGTTGACTACAGGCCGCCGTCATATAACTGTAACCTTGCTGACTACAGATCGCCGTCATATAACTGTAACATTGCTGAGTACAGATCGATGTCATATACCTGTAACATTGCTGACTACAGGCCGCCGTCATATAACTGTAACATTGTTGAGTATAGGCCGCCGTCATATAACTGTAACATTGCTGACTACAGGCCACCGTCATTTAACTGTAACATTGTTGAGTATAGGCCGCCGTCATATAACTGCAACATTGCTGACTAGAGATAGCCGTCATATAACTGTAACATTGCTGACTGCAGATCGCCGTCATATGAATATAACATTGCTGACTACAGATCGCCGACATATAACTGTAACCTTGCTGACTACATATATTTGTCATATACCTGTAACATTGCTGACTACAGGCCGCCGTCATATAACTGTTACATTGCTGACTACAGGCCGCCGTCATATAACTGTAACACTGCTGACTACAGGCCGCCGGTATTTAACTGTAACATTGTTGAGTATAGGCCGCCGTCATTTAACTGTAACATTGCTGACTACTGTCCGTCGGTATATAACAGTTACTGTAACATTGCAGGCTACAGGCCGCCGGTATATAACTGTTACATTGTTGAGTATAGGCCGCCGTCATATAACTGAAACATTGCTGACTGCAGGCCGCCGGTATATAACTGTTTCATTGTTGAGTATAGGTAGCCGTCATATAACTGTAACATTGCTGACTACAGATCGCCGTAATATAACTGTAACATTGCTGAGAAATATAAAATAAAAGAATGTACTTGCACTTTGTGTGAGTTCATTGGAGTATGAACCTTTATAGAGTGAGGGCCAAACATTGTATGAACGTCGTCGCAAGCTGACTACAGATCACCTTCCGACGTTCATGCAGTTTGGCCCTCACTTTATGAAGGTTCATACTCCAATGAACTCACGCAAAGTTAAAGTACATTCTAAAGTAACATTGCTGAGTACAGGCCGCAGGTATATAACGCTAATATTGCTGACTTCGATCGCGACGTCAAACAGTACTGACTTGCTCAACCTCTGTCCTGCGTTGAGCTGCTGTTGACATAGAAACGGCATCTGTTCTGGCATAACATAGGGAGATAATCTGCTGCTACCCACTTGAGCCGTCTACAAGATGGTTCCCTCCTTACAGATACAGCAGCACATAGGAGTGATGGCATCGGTGATGGGAATTCGCCATAGTGGGCCGCCTGCAACCTGACTTTGCGTCGTGTTGACAGTGAAGAAATGTGACCATGCGTTATCTAATCTAGAGCTGAACTGTTCAGTCCCCGATCTATTCCGTGGCCAAAAATAAAAATTCTGCGTCAATTTTGGTAAATTCTGCAACCAATTTTTTTATAATTCTACACAAAATTCTGCAAATTTTTCAGCTTAGTTTTCGTGAATTTCTTAGTTTTGCGCCTGTTTGACTTGTGACATTTTTTTTATGATAAACGTATCCATGGCTAGAATAATTTATTGAAGTGAATCTGGAGATCACTGGTGTAAATATAAAGACATGCATTTTGGTGAGCAATAGTACAAAAGTCAATTTCACATCAAAACGAAATCAATATCCATTTATACGTTTAAAAACACCGTTCGACGTCTTAAATGTCTGCAGTGTATATGACGAATCCTGCGGCGGATAAATGCAAAATTCTGCACAAAATGTGATTTCTGCAGGTTAGGTACATTTCTGCACCGAGTGGGCATTTCTGCAAAATATTCTGTGAACGCGGAATCGCGGAATACAGCGGGGACTGACTGTAAATAAAACATAATACGTAATAAAATAAAACATCAAGTAAACAAAATCTGTTCATGCGTCACGGTGTTGATACAAGTCAGTGGCGTAACATGTGTAGTGTATTCAGTCAAGCGTAACATGTGTAGTGTATTCAGTCAAGCGTAACATGTGTAGTGTATTCAGTCAAGCGTAACATGTGTAGTGTATTCAGTCAAGCGTAACATGTGTAGTGCATTCAGTCAAACGTAACATGTGTAGTGTATTCAGTCAAGCGTAACAAGTGTAGTGTATTCAGTCAAACGTAACAAGTGTAGTGTATTCAGTCAAGGTGTTGATACAAGTCAGGGGCGTAACATGTGTAGTGTATTCAGTCAAGCGTAACATGTGTAGTGTATTCAGTCAAGCGTAACAAGTGTAGTGTATTCAGTCAAACGTAACATGTGTAGTGTATTCAGTCAAGGTGTCGAATATGTGGTGCTTGTGTGTAGGTGACGCATATTTCGTGTTTCTGAGTAGGTGACGAATATGTTTGGTTTTCGGGTAGGTGACGAATATGCAAATAAGTCGTGTATCGGGGTAGGTGACGTATATGTAGATATAGGTTGTGTTTTCTGGTAGGTGACGAATATGTACAGAATGGTTGGTTTCTTGGTAGGTGACGAAAATGTTGGGTTTTCGGGTAGGTGACTCATATGCAAATAAGTCGTGTTTCGGAGTAGGTGACGAAATATGTAGATATAGGTTGTGTTTTCTGGTAGGTGAAGAATATGTACAGAATGGTTGGTTTCTTGGTAGGTGATGAAAATGTTGTGTTTTCGAGTAGGTGACGAATATGCAAATAAGTCGTGTTTCGGAGTAGGTGACGAATATGTAGATATAGGTTGTGTTTTCTGGTAGGTGACGGATATGTACAGAATGGTTGGTTTCTTGGTAGGTGACGAAAATGTTGTGTTTTCGAGTAGGTGACGAATATGCAAATAAGTCGTGTTTCGGAGTAGGTGACGAAATATGTAGATATAGGTTGTGTTTTCAGGTAGGTGACGAATATGTACAGAATGGTTGGTTGTTAGGTGAAGCAAATGTTGTGTTTTCGGGTAGGTGAATAATATGCACATGATGGATATGACAGATAGGATGTGTTTCTGGGTAGGTGACGGATATGGTGTGTTTCCGGCCAAGTGACGGATGTGACGTGTTTCCGGCCAAGTGATTGATATACACAGATAGGTTGTTTTTATGGTAAGGTGACTAATGTGTACAGATCGGCTGTGTTTCCGGGAAGATGATTGATATGAACAGGTGGGTTGTGATTCCGTGTATATGACAGATAGGTTGTGTCTCCGTGTATATGACAGATAGGTTGTGTCTCCGTGTATATGACAGATAGGTTGTGTCTCCGTGTATATGACAGATAGGTTGTGTCTCCGTGTATATGACGGATAGGTTGTGTCTCCGTGTATATGACAGATAGGTTGTGTCTCCGTGTATATGACAGATAGGTTGTGTCTCCGTGTATATGACAGATAGGTTGTGTCTCCGTGTATATGACAGATAGGTTGTGTCTCCGTGTATATGACAGATAGGTTGTGTCTCCGTGTATATGACAGATAGGTTGTGTCTCCGTGTATATGACAGATAGGTTGTGTCTCCGTGTATATGACAGATAGGTTGTGTCTCCGTGTATATGACAGATAGGTTGTGATTCCGTGTATGTGACAGATAGGTTGTGTCTCCGTGTATATGACAGATAGGTTGTGTCTCCGTGTATATGACAGATAGGTTGTGTCTCCGTGTATATGACAGATAGGTTGTGTCTCCGTGTATATGACAGATAGGTTGTGATTCCGTGTATATGACAGATAGGTTGTGTCTCCGTGTATATGACAGATAGGTTGTGTCTCCGTGTATATGACAGATAGGTTGTGTCTCCGTGTATATGACAGATAGGTTGTGTCTCCGTGTATATGACAGATAGGTTGTGTCTCCGTGTATATGACAGATAGGTTGTGTCTCCGTGTATATGACAGATAGGTTGTGTCTCCGTGTATATGACAGATAGGTTGTGTCTCCGTGTATATGACATAGGTTGTGTCTCCGTGTATATGACAGATAGGTTGTGTCTCCGTGTATATGACAGATAGGTTGTGTCTCCGTGTATATGACAGATAGGTTGTGTCTCCGTGTATATGACAGATAGGTTGTGTCTCCGTGTATATGACAGATAGGTTGTGTCTCCGTGTATATGACAGATAGGTTGTGTCTCCGTGTATATGACAGATAGGTTGTGTCTCCGTGTATATGACAGATAGGTTGTGTCTCCGAGTATATGACAGATAGGTTGTGTCTCCGTGTATATGACAGATAGGTTGTGTCTCCGTGTATATGACAGATAGGTTGTGTCTCCGTGTATATGACAGATAGGTTGTGTCTCCGTGTATATGACAGATAGGTTGTGTCTCCGTGTATATGACAGATAGGTTGTGTCTCCGTGTATATGACAGATAGGTTGTGTCTCCGTGTATATGACAGATAGGTTGTGTCTCCGTGTATATGACAGATAGGTTGTGTCTCCGTGTATATGACAGATAGGTTGTATCTCCGGGTAGATGACAAATAGGTTGTGTTTCCGAATAGATGACCAATCTGTGTGGAAAATGTTTCAGCATGTTTTGTTCCGGAGTTGAATCTAGAAATACGTTGCATTTAGGAATGGTAAGGAATATGTAAAGATATCATGTGTTGTGCATGTCGCAAATGTGTACAGGAGTGTTTGTACGTTTCAGGGTACGTGACGAATCTGTACAGGGACGGTGACGAGGTGATTGGCCTGGTGTGTCCGCAGATTGCCAACCGATTATCCTCCATCGCAGAGGAAGGTAACTATTTCACTGACCAATTCGCTCGAACTTAATGAGCTTATTTTAAATAGTTCTAGTTTCTATAATAAGATTGTGCTTACTGCGATAAATCTATGAAATATGAAGCCATCGGTAATTATCAAAACATCATTATGTTATTAAGAACATATTTGGTCCCAGGCGTTATCAACAACAGCAACAATGACGACGACGACGACGACGACGACGACGATGATGGTGATGATGATGATGAATAAAAACCTCAAGTTTGTCTTAAGTGCTGAGTGAAATGGTTGGGAACCGGGTGGTCAGTTTGACTGGACTAACAGGGGTATTTACAGGTCGCCATAATATAGCTGAAACATTACTACCTGTGGCATAACACAACATTCACCCGCTCACTCCCTGTACTGGGACAGCCGTGTGCCACTCCGTTAATGCACGTAGAGGTGCATGCCACGAGGAAGTGCCATAAAATCCCCCTAGGTGCTCCCCCCCAACAGAGGATACCGGTTGATGTTTTATCTGTGTGACCGTGTGCATCAAACCGTATTCCTCAAGGGATAATCCGACAACGGATTTATTTAGCACAATCTGAAGACGGCTGTGAAGCGTTTGTTTGTCGCCATAGTGCCAGGTTATCTCTGGATGACGATGTGTGTATGGTCAGGCTTTGTGCATCACGTTCGCGTAAGGTCAATGTTAATATACATGAGGCGAGGCCGCTTTGGTGTAAGGGGCTTACAGAATGCGGGCATATGTTTTTTCAGTTGAACACCGTTGTTGTTGGGTACAGGACAATTTGTACCAACGCCTTGGAAGGGTAAACTTAAAGTAGTTTACACGTAATGTCAGATAAGGCATATGCCCTCACAGTGAACGAACGAACGAACGAACGAACGAACGAACGAACGAACGAACAAACGAACCAACGAACGAACGAATTATCTTTATTTCCACCAATATAGTCGGAGAGTGCATTGTAGCTTATATTCAGTATAGACTATGTACAATAGGATTGTGAATTCACAAACACCAAACTCATACGGAAATCAGTAGAGTGAATACATGTATATATATATAAACAATGAAAGTTTTGCTAGTATGTTCCCCGAACTTATTCCTTTGTCTGTTTTACACATGAATCTGGCCGGGTCATCGAGTTCCATCTCTTCAACAATAGTTATGACACCACCAAGAATTGTTCAGTGTTACAATCTCCCAATCCTCGAGAGTCAGATAGTGATGGAAGCTGATGATGTCACATAGACGTTCACTTAAAAGTCGTATTTAACATACAAGGTAGGATAAGACAGTATTCTCCCCTATGTAGTTATTTTTATGTCCATTCTCATCACTAACCTGGGTGTGTTTGTTCCAGATAAGACCCCAGAAGGTATCAGGGGGATTATTGAAGATGAGAACAAACGCATCCAAGAAACGATGGATCGTTTTACCAAGCGTATAGAGACCACCCAGGTAACATCTGCCATGCCACAGGTCGAATTATATCGAATAGACCTCGAGATATCCGTATTTCGAGCTTATCTAAGTTTGAATGTACCCGAGTGACCACATGAAGTGTTATGTTACGTCCATAAATGTTCATTATTATTATTATTATTATCATTATTATTATTATTATTACCGCAGGTGGGGCGGTCGGGTAGCCTAGTGGTTAAAGCGTTCGCTCGTCACGCCGAAGACCCGGGTTCGAATCCCGACATGGGTACAATGTGTGAAGCCCATTTCTGGTGTCCCCCGCCGTGATATTGCTGGAATATTGCTAAAAGCGGCGTAAAACCATACTCACTCACTCACTATTACCGCAGGTACTAGTATCTGCTCAAATCCGGTTTTCTTCTGGGGAGTATACAACCCAAACTGCCTAAGGGCGCTAGAAGGTGTTTACATCCACCTCACATATCGGGTACCCATTCCCTGCTGGGTGAACAGAGGCACATTTGAACTGAGTCACTTGCCCAGGGTGACACCACACGTTTTGACACTTGTGCGTCAGGTATATGTACGTATTCGTGTTTCCACCATCTGGTCATCTACCATCGGACCAGTGGGTTCTTTTTGAGTGCCCAGGGTGTATGTACTGTACGCTATTGAGCATTTAAACTTCCAGTTATCTCTTTGTCGGATTATTTTGTCTATGTTGTGAACTGGCGGCCATTGTGATTTGTGTTGAAAGGTTAATCGTTATGTCTCCTAGTTGATGTAAATGTGTGTGTGTGTGTGTGTGTGTTTGTATGCGTGCGTGCGTGTGTGTATGCGTGCGTGCGTGCGTGCGTGCGTGCGTGTGTTGATCGTTGCCGTCAATAGTAAGCCCAAGAGTCTGACGTTTTGGAGTAGTCAAGCTTATAATGAAAATAAAATCTGTTTGGGTGAGCTTGGTTCAACGCCGCTTTGACAGTATTGCAGTTATATCACAGCGTGGCAGGTTGGCGCGGGACGAAAACCCTTAGTGATTCAGGTGTAAGACGTTTGGCACAATTGTGAAACCCACAAGCATGGGGTATTGTGAAAAAAATCCTTGAAACAATCGGGGCGAACCGGGATTCGAACACACGATTACAAGTTTCTGGCTCGCCTATGGGACGTAGCTGGGCCTTCCTCGCCTTAGTAAGAGCGAGTGTAGGGACTTGCTTTATAAACTCTACCCGCCAATCATTATTATGAACACGATCGCTCCATATATAGTTTTGTTTCAGGTCAAAGGGGAGGTAACTACTGTTAACGGGATATCACCGGGACAAACAATTGTGGAAATGGCAGAGTCACGTGGTGTCAGCTTTATCGTCATTGGCTCACGTGGTCGAGGCGTCAAGAGACGCACTCCGATTGGTCACGTGTGCGACTTCGTCATGAACCATGCTACGGTGCCTGTTATGATCTGCAAGGATGCGTAGTGACGTCATCATAGTCACTGCCATTACTTTAACTTGTATGATTAATTATGGTTGCTTCCGCATTAAATTAATTTCCAGAATTACTTGCTGTCCAAAGTATGTTAGACCGCTTCCGTGGTCAAGTGGTAGAGCGTCCGCCTGGAGAGCGGAAGGTCCGGGGTTCGATCCCCTGCCGCGTCATACCAAAAGACGTTAAAAGGCGGTACTTGTTGTTACCCTGTCACCGCGGCATGATATCTCAGTGAGCTAGTACCATAAATCGGCATCAGTCCGGACTAGTACAAGCAGCCACACACACACGTGCATGGACGTTGCTATATTAAGTGCAATAATCTTTGACGTTACAAACGATATGGTGATATGGTGCACTCAATATAAGGTAACAAGATAATATCATTGATAGTATATGAGTATATAACACTGATATTAATTGAGGTTGTAACACTGATAATATATAACCTTGTAACACTGATACTACATGAGTGAGTTGGGTGTAACGCCGCTTCGAACATTATTTCAGCAATATCACGACGACCACAGGAATGGTGAAACAGCAAGCCTCATATTCGGTGCGATTCTCACATTCTCTCACATTTTGCATTTTCAGCATCTTTCGAACTCGCTTAAATGTCCGTTACAGTATTCCGGACAGCCAAGTCAAAGCGCCAGAAAACCCGATGCAATTTAAGCATTTCCTACGACCAGCAATGGGTATGCAGGCGACCCTGTGGTGACAATCCGAGGATTGATTTAGGAAAACCCTTTTTCAGTCCGTCATGAATGTCAGTGAAGGATTCGCCAGTATGTTTTCAAAGTCCTCGACGACAGGGGCGTGATGAACGTGATCATTGATTATTGTGCCTGGGTGAGTATGAGCGCACCCAGATGATATATCACCCGGACACGACACGACACGCGGACCAGCCCCCATACATATGGTACCTTAATTCATTGTCACACCCTAGCGTCACAACACATCATGAGTCAGATCTGGCTACCCAAGTAAATATAAAGACAAGACTACCTCGCCATACTCCAGTTGTACGCATCCAGTTAAAGATGAATGTATACCTAGTGGTCCTGGCCGTGGGGGTGAGTGCCGCCCTGCTCCTCGTGTCCCTCCCCAGGGTGGAGGGATTAAGTTGTGTTCACTGCAGTTATGTGAGGGTCAGGTGTAAAACCCTCCCCAAGTCCTGCCAAGCTACTCGAGGGCCGTGTGGGTGCTGCGACATCTGTGCAGGCAAGGTGGGACAGACGTGCTCCTTCTTCAAACCGTATGTTTCACTTATTTAGTTCTTGCACGGCAGATTTCCTTTTTCTCTGATACAGTTTGTTGACATTATAATTGCTTTGGTGATGTTCCATCAAGTTTGATTGTTTGTTTGTATGTTGTTTAACACCGCACTCAGCAATATTCCAGCTATATGACGGCGGTCTTTAAATTATCGAGTCTGAACCTGACAATCCAGTGATTGACAACATGAGCATCGATCCCCGCAATTGGGATCAATCACATGCATCAACCAAGTCAGCGAGCCTGACCACCCGATCCCGTTAGTCGCCTCTTACGACAAGCATAGTCACCTTTTACGGCAAGTATGGGTTGCTGAAGACCTATTCTACCCCGTATCTTCACGGGTCACCTCCTACTGACCAATCAAATTCCACCTCTCATGTCACTTGCATTTGCTTCAAACAAAATGGCGGCGCCCAGTCAAAACGATCTGAACAATAATCATGACATTTATTGTAATAAGACGGGTCTTACCTCGCAAAATGTATCTTACGAGTTAAGCACCTTGATTAAAAACATGAAAATATTTGGAAAATATCTGTCAACGCCCAGTTGTGGGAACACATGCTCTGCTAATTCTGCAATCGTGCGAAATCTGCTCTAAAGTTTACTAACAGGATGTCGATTTCGTTTCGTTTGTCCATCCAAAATGTGTCTCCATAATTCCAGCCTAGTTCGGGAAGGGTGGAAACTGGACATTTATAGTCAGTTAACTCCCTTGCCTCGGGAAGATGTATCCCCTAGGTAGGTGTGATGAAGGTCTGTAAAGAAATATTATTGGGTTTTTGAATTGTTTGATAACCATTACTTAGAAGTTGACGGATGACAATATAGACACAATTTATGGACAACAACCTTTTTAATTACTGTAAAGGCATCGTTTCGGGATAGATCCTTGTACCATTGTCAAGCAATACTGACTTGACAACTTGACAGTCTTGCTTGATAACGGTATAATGATCCTGTTAGTCGGCTCTTACGACAAGCATAGTCGTCTTTAACGTCAAGCATGGGTTGCTGAAGACCTACTCTACCCCAGATCTTCACGGGTCTCCCTTAAGTAAATCACAAGGGCCCGGGTCATCTGAGACGCCGCAAATCCCAGCCGCTGATACAAAATAAAGTTACAACACTGATACTATCTACGGTTACACCACTAATGTTATAAAAGGTTATAACACTGATATAATATGTTATAAAACGGTATACTATAACGTTATAACACATACTACATAAGATACAACCAATATAAGGTGATAAGATAATATAATTGATAGCATATGAGTTTATGATATTATTTAAGGTTGTAACACTGATAATATATAACCTTGTAACACTGATACTATATAAGGTGAGATGACATTGGGTTTAACGTCGCGTCCAAGATTATTGCACTTACATAGTGACGTGTGTGTGTGTGTGTGTGTGTGTGTGTGTGTGTGTGTGTGTGTGGCTGTGTGTGGCTGTGTGCGGCTGTGTGGCTTGTACTAGTCCGGACTGATGCCGATTTATAGTGCTAGCTCACTGAGTTACCATGCCGCAGTTTAGCATGAATACCCCACTCAGACATAGAATACTGACTCCGAGCCGGCCAGTCCTTGTTTTAGCTAATAAATGCCGAGCGCCAGACAGGGTAACAACAAGTACCATTTTTAACGTATGACGCGGGCGGGGATCGAGCCACGGACCGTCCGCCCTACCTCTAGACCACGGAGGCGGTCTGATACTATATAAGAGTATCACACTGATACTATATTAGGTTGTATCGCTGATACTATTTTAGATTAGTGAGTGAGTGAGTGAGTATGGTTTTACGCCGCTTTTAGCAATATTCCAGCAATATCACGGCGGGGGACACCAGAAATGGGCTTCACACATTGTACCCATGTCGGGAATCGAACCCGGATTTTCAGCGTGACGAGCGAACGCTTTAACCACTAGGCTACCCGACCGACCCTTTTAGATTAGTACACTGCTACTAAATAAGATAAGACTAAATACATATCGCTATGAAGGTAATGTCAATGATAGTATATAAGGTTGTAACACTGACACTATATAAGGTTGTAACATTGATACTATATAAGGGTATGACACTGATACTCTACGGTTGTAACATGTTACTATATACGGTTACAAAACTAGTGCTGTCTACTGTTGTAACACTGATACTATATTCGGTTTAAAACACTGGTACTATACATGGTTATAAGACCCATACTATGTACGGTCATAACAACTAACATTCAAACAAAAGGGAACTGTTTGCTTCTTGAATAATAATTGATCACTTGCATTGTACATAGCCTCTGGCCGCTCCAAACACAGCAGGTGACGGCATAGTGTAGTCCCGGATACACCCTGTTTCAAATGTGTTATCAGACGAAGTGTGCTAATGGCAACATCTGCAACACTTATAGTCCACAGGCTTAGCAAACAATTGTGCACTTTTCGACACAAGCATGAGCTATTACCTGTAAAACTGAAGCGTTATGTTCATTTAATATTTATGTTTTAATTTTATTTTTGTTTTTTCATAATCTTTTTCTAAATTGTGATATACTTGTAAAAGGACCCAACCTGTTGTAAACCAATCAGTCATTTAACGATTTGAGAATCAAATCTGTTCACATTATGTGCAAGAGAGACAGAGTTGCAATACATTTCTTGTTGGTGTAATGAATTGACGAATTGCCTGGTAGCTTGGAGGGGAGCCAATTAACAACTACTTATCGTTATAACCCTGATAAAAAGGAAATGACACTGATACTATATAAGGTTGTAACACTGATACTATATAAGGTTGTAACCCCGATACTATATAAGGTTGTAACACTGATACTGCATATCGTTATAACCCTGATAAAAAGGTAATGACACTGATACTATATAAGGTTGTAACACTGATACTATATAAGGTTGTAAAACTGATACTATATCAGGTTGTAACACTGATACTACATATCGTTATAACCCTGATAAAAAGGAAATGACACTGATACTATATAAGGTTGTAACACTGATACTATATAAGGTTGTAACACTGATACTACATATCGTTATAACCCTGATAAAAAGGAAATTACGCTGATACTATATAAGGTTGTAACACTGATACCATATAAGGTTTTTACACTGATACTACATATCGTTATAACCCTGATAAAAAGGAATTGACACTGATACTATATAAGGTTGTAACTCTGATACTATATAAGGTTGTAACACTGATACGATATCAGGTTGTAACACTAATACTATATAAGGTTGTAACTCTGATACTATATAAGGTTGTAACACTGATACTATATAAGGTTGTAACACTGATACTACATATCGTTGTAACCTTGATAAAAAGGAAGTTACACTGATACTATATAAGGTTGTAACACTGATACTATATAAGGTTGTAACACTGATACTACATATCGTTATAACCCTGATAAAAAGGAAATGACACTGATACTATATAAGGTTGTAACTCTGATACTATATAAGGTTGAAACACTGATACTATATCAGGTTGTAACACTGATACTATATAAGGTTGTAACTCTGATACTATATAAGGTTGTAACACTGATACTATATAAGGTTGTAACACTAATACCATATAAGGTTTTTACACTGATACTACATATCGTTATAACCCTGATAAAAAGGAAATGACACTGATACTATATAAGGTTGTAACTCTGATACTATATAAGGTTGTAACACTGATACTATATCAGGTTGTAACACTAATACTATATAAGGTTGTAACACTGATACTATATAAGGTTGTCACACTGATACTATATAAGGTTGTAACACTGATACTACATATCGTTGTAACCTTGAAAAAAGGAAATTACACTGATACTATATAAGGTTGTAACACTGATACTATATAAGGTTGTAACACTGATACTACATATCGTTATAACCCTGATAAAAAGGAAATGACACTGATACTATATAAGGTTGTAACACTGATACTACATATCGTTATAACCCTGATAAAAAGGAAATGACACTGATACTATATAAGGTTGTAACTCTGATACTATATAAGGTTGTAACACTGATACTATATATCGATATAGCCATGACAAAAAGGTAATGGCACTGTTAGTATATAAAGTTTTAACACTGATACTATATAAGGTTGTAACACTGATACTATATATCGATATTAGACTGATAAAAAGGTAATGACACTGATACTATATAAGGTTGTAACACTGATACTACATATCGTTATAGCCCTGATAAAAAGGAAATGACACTGATACTATATAAGGTTGTAACACTGATACTATATAAGGTTGTAACACTGATACTATAAAAGGTTGTAACACTAATACTATATAAGGTTGTAACACTGATACTACATATCGTTATAACAGGCTTAGTAAACAATTGTGCACTTCTTGACACAAGCATGAGCTATTACCTGTAAAAGCGTTATGTTCATTTAATATTCATGTTTTTATTTTATTTTTGTTTTTTCATATTTTTTAAATATTTTTTTCTTAATTGTGACATACTAGTAAAAGGACCCAACCTGTTATAAACCAATCAGTCATTTAACGATTTGAGAATCAAATCTGTTCACATTATGTGCAAGAAAGACAGAGTTGCAATACGCTCCTGTTGGTGTAATGAATTGACGAATTGACTGGTAGCTTGGAGGGGAGCCAATTAACAAACTGTCAACATTGCACAATATCAGTCAATGACAGGGCTTCTTGATATATCACCAAGGAAACAGAGTTTTGATTATGAAATAATACTGGTTAACTTTCTGTTCATATTGCTTACAATTCGGTCCCCAAAATAAATATCTGTGTATGCACATTATTGTCTATACAGTCTTGGTGAAGAATAACTGTAGAGGAAGAATACACATTTCTCAGAATTAATGACGATGAAGACAACAGAATGTGACTTTTCAGTGTCTTGTGATTTGTCGAACTGTCGTTTCTGTGTGACTTC